TGATACTCTAGTTACTTTGGCTAACGAAACTGAGAAAAGTGATGTTACTATCTCGCACGAGGCAATCACTTTAACAGAACAGTTGAAAGATTTTGGCTTTATAGTTTCCCTAGTTGTTTGGTACGACATTCTTTTTCAAATCAATGTCGTGAATAAATCTCTGCAGTCGAAAACCGTGAACCTCAGTAAATGCACAGAAATGCTGGAAAACTGTTGCAATTTTTTAGAAGAATACCGAAAAACTGGTTTTAGGAAAGCTCTTTCAACAGCAAGGGATCTGGCGAATGAACTACAAGTCAAGCCTGTTTTTAAGTTAATGAAAAAAGTACGACGCATAAAACGCCAGGCTGGTGAAATGGCCACGGACGAACCTATCGAATCCCCTGAGAAAAAATTTGAAATTGAAGATTTTAATAAATTGTTGGACGTCTCTTTAATGTCAATAAAAGAAAGGTTCAGACAGTTACATAACTATTCAGAAACATGGTCTTTTTTGTACAATATAAAAAGATACCTGAAAAAAATGAACTTCTGAAATTCTGTACTGATCTCCAATTAAAACTTACTGTTGGTTCCGATTCCGATATAGATGATTATTTATTGTGTGATGAACTCATAAGTTTAAAAAAATTTTTTCCAGATGACGATAATATTACTCCCATTTACGTTTTAAATTTTATTAAACAGCGCAATATTTATAAACTATATTCAAATGTATGAATCGCGTTGCGCATTTTGGTAACTATACCTGTAACGGTAGCTAGTGGAGAACGCAGTTTTTCGAAACTTAAGTTAATAAAGACTTATCTACGATCAACGATTTCACAAACAAGACTTACTAACTTAGCTGCTCTTTTAATTGAAAATAAAAATGCCGCAAACTTGAATTTCACCGATTTGATTCGAGTGTTTGCCGATAAAAAGGCCCGAAAAGTGAAATTTTAATAAACTTCCGTAATTTCTCAAAAACTCTAGTTTAAGCTTTGTCCTCTAAAAAACCCAAAATAATAAAAGTATATAAAATACAAAAAAATACAAAAAATAAAAATATCAAAAAATATAAATATATAAAAAAACAAAAAAGGAGCTACAAAAACTTTCTACATCCACGTCGTTAACTTGTGACCGCGCGATCTACTAACTACGTTAGGACCAAACTTGCTACGGACTCAGGTTGCTCGTTTTCGTCTCGATTGTGGTCGCCAGTTGTTTTGACCTTTAAACAACAAGGTGATTCGCAGCCCGTTGATCCCTGTCGGAATCTTACCTTTGATGATTCGCCGCCACCTGTGCGCCTTCGATATGTCGCACTGATGCAACAGCCTGCGGTTTCCTTTGTTAGACAATGGATCAGAAGATGGCCGCCTTGGCTTCCTCTGAAACTTCGACTTCCGCAATCACGTGACGACGTCAGTTCCTTTGTCGGGATCTTTTCCGCTGCTAACGTTAGTCTCTCTTTTCCCTTTTTAGGTCACCGTGGGACACAGGAAACTTCCGCTTCGCCGCTATGAACCTCGAGGATACTCAGGATCGGTTCGTCGTGGGATAATCACGGGTAAGTAATTTCTCACTTTCTATAGTTGAATAACTATTTAGTTTATTCGTTTTCACGCACAGTGTTTCTATCGCAAAATTGTACACTTTTTAATGTCGCGTTGCGCGTACAGTGGTTTTGTGCTTCCGCGTTAATGGTACGTTTCCGTCTGAGTTTTATTTGTTAATCGAGTTTTCCTTATGAATAGAAAGAAACTCTTATTGAGCTTTAGCAGATCTTGTTGACCGTTTATTAGCTAAAGCCTCACGGTTGAGTCTTTGACGATCTGAATGACCGCTTTATTACAAAGAACCCGATTTGAGTTTTCGCGGATCTCTTCGACCTTTTTCTCGCAAAAAGCTCTCAACTCCTTGCGGTGTCGGTTTATATACCCGTCTCGGGCTCGCCCCGCTCTTGACCTACCAGCCAATCGCTTTACGTTGCCCCACCAGTGGCCCGCTGGCCACTCAGCGCCTTGCGCGCTCGCGGTTATTGTATGCTATGCTCAACAAGAGTTTCTATTTTATTCTTAACTTATTATAATACAAGATATTTACAATCTTACATGCTAGTTAATTTTAATTACTACTAATATTATTTTTGCGGTTCTATTTATTTTATTATAATAATTTTTTTTTCTTTATTTCTGCTTTTATATGATTTTTGAATTATCTTATTTACGGCCTGACTATTACTAAAAATAACTTAAGCTACAAAATCAAATCAATCATTTATTCAATTGTTTAAACTAAACATTGACTTTTTCGGACTTAACATAAAATGATTTAACATACACAATAAATTACTACAATAACAATTACCATACAAAATCAACTAAACTCTAACAGTGCTTAAGCTCGTATGTAAACAAACACAATGATAAATTATTAAATATTATTAGGCCCTGTGTAACAAGCACAAAAAATTTTTATTAATTCTTAGAAAAAATTTTTTTTTAAATTTGACAAAACCAAACGTTTTGACCTGTACTAGGTCTTCTTCAGTGCGCAGTAATCGTTATGATAATTAAATAAATTTTAAAATAAAAATTCTAATACTAAGTTGCTATATAATGTCAAGTAAATTAAAAACTGATGTCAAGATTAAAAAGCGAAATACATTGACATTAAATTTAAATCATCAAGCATAGCTCGACACGAACAGTCCACACTGAGTGCAAAATCATATAACTAATCCGATTAATCCATATTATTTTAAAATTATTATTAATAACTCAGAGTGGCGCTTCGAAATTGCTCTAAACCAACCGCTCTTCGTTGGTCGGCGAAAGGCTGTTAGTCCGGCAATAAACTTGTCCATCCTCCCCAAGTTTTTTAAGATGTTATGAACTAAATTTATAAAATTTTTTAAAGTATAAAGTCAATTGACTTATGTATGTGTAAAAAATTAGGAATTAAAAATTAAAAAATTAGCTAATTGTTGCTTACAGTTGTGTCCAAATAAAGAAATATGACCATGACTCCAATTTTTGCTGAATGTATTACTTGAATGTATGTCGCGTAGTTTAAAAAGTTGAATATATAGGTGTCAAGTCACAAAAAAACAAATATTATAATAAGTCTAACGATTTCCTATTTCTTCTAGAATGTCAAAATAAGCGTTGTTGAGCAATTCAGTGTCTGTATTATTATTTATACCAAGTTTTTGTTCTTTTATGTGTATCATCTCCGAGATAAGTCTTTTGTAGTAGTTAAATTCAATATCAAGTATTTTGACGTTATCCCAATCAAAAGCATGCTTTTTATCGATAATATGTTCCGAGACCACCGAATGCTTAGAAGAATCAAATTTAATGTTACTTATATGCTCCTTTAGTCTAGTACGTAATTTTCTTTTGGTTTGCCCAACGTAATAAATTACCAATTAATCTATAAAACTTAATATTCCAAACTAAAACTACTTTGGGTCTGCTTAAAATATATTTCCCGCTATTTTAACCCGCTAATTTAATCCAGAAAGAGTCATACTCGTTTTTTCCTTGCAAAGATTAAATTAATATTGTTGAGAAATGGTAATATATATATATATTTTTTTTTTATTTTCGGAACAAACCGTTGAGAATGTTTGAATATCCTTTTCAAGGATGATTGTATCGCGATGGAATTTAAAAAACAGCGTGATAGCCTCGTGATCACTCGCGCCTAATAGGCCGAAGTATCTCGCCTTACTTTAAGGGATCCAATCACGATAACGTGCCCTACGCGCGCTCCAAAACTCGCGCTGTACTCACAGCAGTCTCAATCGAGAGAGCGAAAAGAGAACACTCTTGTACATAGCGTTCTTGTGCTAATCGAAAAAGAAATAAAGTTACGATTCGACACCAAGTGCAAAGTTTCATTCAAAAAACCCGAACCCGGCGATAACATTAACATACAAAATTGGTCCTTCGAGCCGGATTCGTGAAATTAATCGGATGAAACTGCGACCTTGTTTTCAATCACGCGTGAATCAACCCGAGAGTTTCGGACAATTTCCCAGTGTTCCGGAAGCCTTTGTGATCGGACGTTTAACGCGTTCTCGTTCGTTGCGGAGCTCTGTGTGCGAGAGTGAGACCGCGCTACACGACCAGCTGTCGCGCGCTCAGAGACAGTCTCTCTCTCTCTCTCTCGCTCTCTCACGACGACGCGTGGAGCGAGAGAGACAGCGCAACGCCGCGCGTTCCGACGCGCGCTCTCTCTCTCTATCTCTCTCTTGCTGCGGCACTCTCCCAAAGACCAACATTTTTGCAGTACAAGCGCCGCTATCACGCGCTTTGCAATTTTGCCCTTCGGACGGCAGTTAAATGCCGTTCGAGAATAGCAACTGCACGTGTACTCCGCTACCCGTGCCCAGTGACTCTCATCTCCGGTGCCGCGATCACGTGCCAGTGATGGAATTCTCTAACACCGCGGGTGACAGTGAACATTGTTGCAAGTAACCCGCGCGCGCGCCGCAATCACGCGCTTAGCAAGTCGTTACACACAGTGACTCTCATCGTTTAAAGGTGACTCTCATTAATTGTGAGCCGCTATCACGCGCTACGAGCCAGTGAATCAAAACAATTCCTGGGCATTAATTTAAGAAACTTTCTGCATGCCTGCAGTACCAGGCGCAGGACGTCGTGCGCGCAACTATAAAGCGCCCGCCTCCTGCTTCTCTCCTTGACTCTTGTCAACTTTCGTCGAATCTCGACATTCTTAAACTACAATAAAGGTGCGTGATTTCAAGTGTGACTTCGCTAAAACGCGTTTTGCTATCACCACCGCACCATTATGTGTACTTTGCTCTAAGTGACAAGGATAGCCACTAACGGCCGTCGTGAGGACGCCAAATTGCGCTAAAAATTAACTCTTTCTCTCACGCTCCGCTTCGAGCCGAGGAATTTTTCCTCGCCGAGCAGCCGCGCGCGCCTTCTGCTCCCGTGAGTGATAAAATAATAGCTCACATATTCGGCATCGAGACTATGATGTCGACCACCGTGAACGATCTGCTCATCGAGCAGAGTGAAAACATTAGCTCGCTCAAAAGAGTCCTCGTCAATTTCAAAAGGCTAGCCAAGCCGAACGTGACCCTCGCCAAAACGCGAGGTCGTCTTGCCACTGCGGAGGAAATCTGGGGCGCTTGCCGCTCCCTCCACGTCAAGCTTCTTCAGATGGCAACGCCGGAGCAGAAGAAGGCCTTATCGTACTTCGAGAAGGACGAGTTTCTCGCAGCTGAGGATGTCTACAACGATGTGGCCGATCTCCTTCATGAAACGATAAGTCGATTTACACCAACTCAAATCGCGCTTAACGATCGTAGTCTTGATTCCTCCGTTCGCGAACCTAACAATCATTGTTTTCAATTGCCACGCATCACGCTCCCGAAGTTTGCCGGTAAATTAACTGATTGGGAAAACTTTCGCAATATTTTCGAGTCTCTCGTAGCAAACAACGACGCTCTTTCAAATTCCCAGAAATTTCATTATTTAAAAACGAGCGTAACGGGAGATGCTTCACTGTTAATCAATAATTTAAAGATTTCGGATGCAAATTATGAGTCGGCCTGGCAATTGCTAACAAACGAGTACGATGATAAACAAGCGTTAATTTACTCGCATCTGCATGCATTTTTTAATTTTCCGGTGATGAGATCCGAAAATGTAAGCGATCTTCGCAAGTTACGCGACACAGTGTCTGCATCATTAGCCGCGTTAAATAACCTCGGTCGTCCGGTAGAGCAATGGGACGACGTTCTTATATATATAATCACGCAAAAGTTTAGCGCGAAAACGCGTACAGAGTGGAATCTGAAGCGAACGAAACGCGACGAGCTCCCTACTTATCAGGAACTCAGTGAATTCTTAACGCTTCGCATTCGCGGACTATCTGACTTTTCGGATGCGAGCACAGACGCCGGCTCCGCGAAGCACGATAAGCCGCGTTCGTCAGTCAATAGCGTGACCGTCGCCAAATGTATTTGCTGCTCCGGCGAGCATCCAGTTGCGAGATGCGAAACGTTTATTAAAAAATCTGCTTCACAGCGTTGTGCTTTTGCCCGTCAACATAAGATTTGTTTTAATTGCTTAAAGCCCGGGCACTTTCCGACGAAATGCCCGAGTAAATTTCGATGCAGACAGTGTAGTCGCATGCATCATACACTGTTGCATTCCGCGTATTATGGCGCCTCTGTCAGTACAGAGGCTTCCGCGGCGACTACCTCTGAGTCCGCCTCGAGCGTCTCTAACGACTCGCTAGTTCCGCCGAAGGTACCGCCAGTTGCGAGCGTCCAGACAGTACCACCCTCGCTCGATCGACCTCCCAACGTTCTTTTGGCCACGGCGTGGGTCGACCTCCACACAGAAGAGGGTCGATGTTTGAAAGTACGTGCGCTGCTGGATCAAGGATCCACTTTCAGTTTTATCTCGGAGTCGCTTTCACAAGCTTTGCGCACTAAACGGCAACGAGCCAATTTGCAAATTAAATGTTTCGGCGAAAAATTCACCGGTACTGCTAAGTCACGATTAACGCTTCGATTAACCCCGCGTTCGAAAGCTGATCCGAGCTTTCCTCTGGAAGCTTACGTATATCAACGCATTACTTCGTATGCCGCGTCGCAAGTTCAGCCGTTCGAAACGTGGCCACATTTACAGGGTCTCTCCTTTGCGGATCCTGATCCTTCGAGTCACCACCAAATTCACTTATTGATCGGTGCTGACCTTTACGGCTCACTTTTGCTGCGCGATATCCGTCAAGGTCCTATCGGTACTCCGACCGCTCAATTGACCGCTCTTGGTTGGGTACTCTCTGGCCCTACGACTAGTAGGTCCACCGCTTCTGCTGAAGCCTCCGTATTGAACTGCGTGTCTAATCAGGACATCCACTTGCTTCTCCAGAAATTCTGGGAAGAGGAGGAAATTCCTCACCCTTTACCCCTCACTGAAGAGGAGGAGAGGTGCGAAGCTCACTTTGTTGCGAATCATTACCGGAATTCGCAGGGACGTTATACCGTCCGATTGCCATTTAAGCATGATCTCCCGATAGAAATCGGTGATTCTTTATCAATTACAACTTCGCTGTACTATAAAATGGAGAGCAGGTTACGACGTCAACCTGAGCTTCAAGCTCAGTATAATGAGTTTTTAAAAGAATATCGCTCTCTCGGGCATATGACAAAGGTGGAGGACTCTGAGCATTCCGAGTTCAAACCCGTATACATATCGCATCACCCTGTCTTGCGTGATTCGAGCTGTACCACTAACTTACGCGTTGTTTTCAACGCCTCTTGCAACACGAGCAACAACTCCTCTCTCAACGATCATCTGTTGATCGGTCCGAGGTTGCAACAAGACCTTCCCGCGATACTGTTGCGCTGGCGGCAGTGGCGCCTGGTCTACACTGCGGATATTGCTCAGATGTTCCGCCAGATCCTCGTGCATCCGTCTGACACGGACTTTCAGAGGATTCTTTGGCGTTCGTCGGCTGACTCGCCGATCGAACGCTACCGACTTCTCACGGTGACGTACGGGCTGGCCCCAGCCCCGTACCTTGCGATGAGAGTCCTGAGGCAGCTCTCCATTGAAGGAGCTCTCTATCCCGCTGCCGTTTCAATTCTGCGCGAGTCCTTTTATGTGGACGACGCGCTTTTCGGCGCGGACGACGAGGCCTCGTTAATTGAGGCTCGTATACAACTGGTGGAAATACTAAGAAAGGGTGGATTTCAGCTCCGTAAATGGGCATCCAACTCCCTCTCCCTTCTTCAGGGGCTCTCGGCTCATCAGCCGGAAGTGAAAAATCACTTGTTAGTAAAAGAGGATACTCTCAAGGTCCTAGGTCTTTCGTGGCACTCGCAGGACGACTCGTTTCAATTCGTGGTCACACCGCCGAAAACGGTCAATCCAACGAAGCGCTCAATTCTCTCTTTCACGGCTAAGTTGTACGACCCGCTCGGTTGGGCGGCTCCGTTCGTTGTAACCTCTAAAATTCTGTTACAAGAGTTATGGCTTCTCAAGTACGACTGGGATACGCCTCTCCCTGACGAGTTACGCGAACGATGGGAGAGTTACTCCAGGGACTTGCAATCGTTAAATCTTGTTGGATACCTCGTTGGACCGGTAAACATTGCGAGAATCTCGCGTTAGAAATACACGGGTTCGCGGACGCATCAAATCGAGCTTATGCGGGCGTAATATACATTCGCGTTATTCACGCGCCGACCAGATTTCAAATCAGCTTGTTGGCCGCTAAAACTAAAGTCGCGCCGATCAAGACCGTGAGCATCCCGCGATTAGAATTGAACGCCGTCGTCTTGCTCAGTCGCCTAATCAAATGGACCTTGACCGCCCTGGCTTTGCCCCCGATTCCGTCTACGGATGGACGGATTCTACCATCGCCCTTGCGTGGCTTCGTCAACATCCATCTAAATGGAATACTTATGTTGCCAACCGCGTGTCGGAAGTGCAAACGACTCTGGCTTCCGCTCGCTGGAATCACGTCCCTTCAGGCGACAATCCGGCAGATTGCGCCTCGCGCGGTTTGTCCGCTTCCGAACTAGTTGTCCACCCGTTATGGTGGACTGGCCCTCGATGGCTTCATCAGCCACCGACTTCCTGGCCAACTCTTGACATTTCTACTCCGTTCGATTCTACAACCGAATTGCAAGTGTCGACGGAGAGGAAAAAATATGTGACGCTCCACGTACAAGAGTCCGCTGAGTGGGAACTTCCACGCAAGTTCTCCCGCTGGACGAAGCTCATCCGAGTAACCGCCTACGTTTACAGATTCGTACTACGAACAAGAGGAAAAGGTGATTCTCGCCACGATCTTCCCGCCTTTCTGAGCGCCGACGAGCTCAGGAAGGCGGAGATATTCTGGTTTAACTATTTACAACGGAATTTCTTCGAGCGAGAATTGCGATCATTAAAAAATAAAAGAACTCTGCCACACTCAAGCCCTCTGCGTGGACTGAATCCTTTCCTGGGAACAGACTGTTTAATCCGCCTTGGCGGGCGGTTGAAAAACTCAGCGCTCGGTTATGACGAGCGACACCCGATTATCCACGGAGTCACTCTCCACGGAGGAGTGCAACTGGTACTGCGCACACTGCGTCAGCGGTTTTGGCTTTTAAGCGGCCGCAACTCCGTAAAGGCGCATCTTCGGAAATGTGTCATTTGCGCGCGACACTCCGCTCGATTGTCTACTCAGTACATGGGAGACCTCCCCGCGGCTCGAGTCACTCCTTCCGCTCCGTTTACTCACTGCGGAGTGGATTACGCTGGCCCTCTCCACGTAACTTCCTTCGTAGGTCGAGGACAACGTGCTCGGAAGGTGTATATTGCTCTGTTCGTTTGCCTCGCCACTAAAGCGATCCACCTCGAGATGGTGGAAGATTACTCCACGCCCAGTTTTCTAGCCGCCTTTCATCGATTTGCCAGTCGGCGAGGATCACCTCGTCATCTCTATAGCGACAACGGCACCAATTTTCGTGGTGCCGACTCCGAACTTACGAGACACTTTGCCTCCGTTATCGGAGATCCTGATTTACAGAGCGCGATCGCCAATGACGGAGTGGCCTGGCACTTCATTCCCTCCGCTGCTCCGCACTTCGGCGGTCTTTGGGAGGCCGAGGTCAAGAGCTTCAAGACGCACTTGAAGCGAGCCGTTGGGTCTCATACTCTATCGCGGGCTGAACTCGCTACGCTTTTGTGCAAGATCGAAGCTTGCCTAAACTCGCGACTCATCGCTGCGCTCAGCGATGACCCGAGTGACGTGTCGGCGCTCACTCCGGGTCACTTCTTGATAGGACGGCCGCTTGTAGCCGTTCCGGAGGAATCGACACTTGCGATCGACGCGAGTAGACGCTCACGATGGCAGAACGTTCACGCCATGCTAGAGACAGTTTGGCGTGCTTGGTCGCAAGATTACTTGCATTCGATTCAACAACGCCATAAATGGCGCAAGCATATGCCAGACCTCGCGACGGGCGACTTAGTAATAATAAAAAACCCGCTGCTCCCTCCGAGTAAGTGGGACCTAGCGCGGGTGACGCAGACTCATCCGGGGTCTGACGGACACGTGCGGGTTGTCACCGTTCGTACCGCCCAGTCTACTTTGAAGCGACCAATCACGCAAGTCTGTCGACTTCCCGTCGATGATCATTTAGATAAGTCCAATACGTTGAGTAATGAAATTTAATGTAATTTCGAGACGAATACCTTTGCGCGATTCGTCCTTGTTTGTATTCTTTCATGTAACAACCATTCTCCAAGGCTTGCTCTCATTCTTGATTACTAATTTATTTCGCATTCGTCCCGAATGCAAAGCGGGCGGTATGTTGAGAAATGGTAATATATATATATATTTTTTTTTATTTTCGGAGCAAACCGTTGAGAATGTTTGAATATCCTTTTCAAGGATGATTGTATCGCGATGGAATTTGAAAAACAGCGTGATAGCCTCGTGATCACTCGCGCCTAATAGGCCGAAGTATCTCGCCTTACTTTAAGGGATCCAATCACGATAACGCGCCCTACGCGCGCTCCAAAACTCGCGCTGTACTCACAGCAGTCTCAATCGAGAGAGCGAAAAGAGAACACTCTTGTACATAGCGTTCTTGTGCTAATCGAAAAAGAAATAAAGTTACGATTCGACACCAAGTGCAAAGTTTCATTCAGAAAACCCGAACCCGGCGATAACATTAACATACAAATATTCTACTTACATTCTAATATTCTAAATACATGTGTTTTATATCCCAAAATGTATTTTGCTGTTTTATTATGCAATAAGGGTTTTTCCCCAAAGTAACTAAAATCTTTCATTTTTAACTTAAAACTTTCTAAATTTATTTGTTTTAATTATTCACATGTATTTTAATACATTCAATAATTTAAAATAACTTAAAATCATTTTTTAATCTTAGTTCTTAAAAATCATAATATTAATTTTAAACTGTCAAAATACATTTGTTTTAATTATTCAACTGCATTTTGATACATTTAGTAACTTAAACTAACTTTTTAATGTTAATCTGCAAAATTCTAGAACACTAGAACAGTTGATGTGTTAATGTAGCGTTTACGGCAGCCTTTATACAGCGCCAGAACAGCCGATGTTTTATTTCGGCGCTTACGGCAGGCTTTATACAGCGCCATTATTTAATCTGTTCTAAGAACAATATGTATGCCCTTTGTGCTCCTTTGGGCCATTTTTTCTTGAACACTTCCATATCATTAGAGTAATACCATTCCGATTTTGTGTCAGCTCTCAACATACACGTGTAGTGACCACGATTCATTTCTTCACCTTCGTGAAATATAGCGCTTATTACCTTGTACTTTTTTTTATTAATCGTGATATTACTCGTCGGCACGGCGGTAATCCGATTGTTGATAATTTTTTTAGAAGCACCGTTTTCAAAAGTATATATATTGAGCTGTATTACTACGACGGATAAAGTTGATTCGATTACGGTTTTCTTTTTCAACACGGTACCCTTACATTCGTTACAATTGCCGTTTCCCATTTAGAAAATTCTACATTAATTAAACTTTGTAGAGTGACACCTTTTTTCCTTTTTAATGTCGAATGTATAGGTAATATTAACAAACTACTGCTTTCCAGCTTACATTCCAGCTTTCGTTCCAGTTACATTCTAATTACATTTGACATTCGAGCAACATGTTACGTGCTTTAATTCGAGTTCTAATACATCATTGATGTCGGAATACGTCGACATTTTAGAACCGTAAAAAATTCTGAAACATCTTGTTGTGTTTGTTCTTCGAAGCGTTTTCCGACAGATCTTCTAACCGCTTGAATGTTGCAATATTTACGTTCACCATACGCGCAGATGGCATCAGTCAATGCATTCGATGCTTTATTTTTCAGTATTTGTTGCCTAATACGTACGCAATGAAACGCACATTGTAATATTACATTAGCGTAACACGAAACAGCATCGTTATTGCAAAGGCCATATATTTTCCACGTAACTATACTTTCTGGTTCTTCACAATCATAATTCTGCACATCATCAATGATATTAGGGATAGCCCATCGACGATCGTACATTTTCACAACCTTTTTCTCGGACGGATTGATTTGTGGCAGTTCAGATTTGAATATAGATCTCAGTCGATTATATTCTACAATGGCTCTCGAGTTTGCTTTAACTGATGCTGGATTGAAATTTATCAAATGTAGGCCTTCCAATTTACTTACTTGTGACAAACCTACATAGGCTTGACCATCACTGAATACAGTCGTTCCTAAATCCATCATTGCATTGTTACATGTAATTCTTTGACTTTTGTGTATAGTTATTCCATAACTGAGAGACAATGGAAATTGTTTCCGATGTACCACTAATTTGTGGAATACTTCAAATTTAATATCTACTTTCGTTATTGCGATTTCTTTGTTATCCGAAATAACTATTTTGATGGAATCAATACAATTGCCGTCAGCAGAGCAATGTTGAGGGGATTGCTTCATTGTCCTGATTTATTTTTGTATTGATTGTATTGATTGTATCATTATCCTCTCCTATATTGGGTTGGAATATAGATTCTAGATGTTCTGCGAATCTTATTGCTTTTTGTTCATTGTTTCTAGCCCAGCTTCCATCTGTGTTTTTAATCGGCGGAACTTGCATGATGGGTCTCTTGAGTTTTTTAGTTGTTTTCCACAGTGAGTAATCTGTATTTTTATCACTTGTCAATTCTCTCAGGTAGGCACTTACAGAGTCATTTTTAAATTGTTTAATTGTATTTCTCAGTTGCGACGTGAGATTATTTAATATAGAATATAAGTATGCTGCCTTCTAAGCCGGGCAATAGAGCCAAGGAAACGAAACGAAAAATTAATTAAACGGAACTGTATCTCAATTTGAGATCCCAAAGTTCCACATATAAATTAATTTCGAAACTTACATATGGAGAAATAAGCGAGAAAAATATAGGTCCGAAAAGTCGCTGAAGCGGGAATCGAACCCGCGTCTTTCACTTTCCGGGCGACTGCTCTTACCAACTAAGCTATTCAGACCCTTTCGATCCCATATTTTTCATTTGCCTTTTAAGTAGATGTTAGTAAATACCGCCGTGATTAGCCCAGGCGTGAATAAATTCAGAAATAAATATTTTTATCGGCTCTCAATATAAAGAATATAAGTATGCTGCCTTCTAAGCCGGGCAATAGAGCCAAGGAAACGAAACGAAAAATTAATTAAAAATATTTATTTCTGAGACTATTTAATATAGTTTTGTCTTGTGGAGCTCTAGTTTGGTGCCATTTTCTTCTTGCTTTTCGTTTTTCTGCAAGTAACTCTCTAATTTCTCGTGGATAGTTATTGCCTTTTAGCCTCTTTTTGATTTCAGGGGTATTCTTCCATGCTGCTTGCTGAATATTAATAACAAATTTCTCTACTTCCGAGTCCAATTGTTCTTTTGTTTGTAAGGGTACTGCTAGTTTAATTTTTTCTTCTAAGCTTCTTCTGAAGTTTGCCCAGTCTGTCTTTGTGTTGGTAAGAACTGGATTATTCGCTTTTTGAATGATATTTTCACTTAGTGTTAGCATGATAGGAGAGTGGTCCGAATTCATATCTTGGTAATCTTCAATATGTAGGTAATTGCATGAAACGTTTTTAATTATGAAAAAATCAATTAAATCGGGAATCTTAGCTGGATCAGTGGGCCAGTAAGTCGGTTTTCCAGTTGAAAGAGGTTCACATTTATATTCTTTTATTGCATTAAGAAGTTCTTTTCCTTTAGTGGTTATCAGCCTTGATCCCCAATACGTATGTTTTGCATTGAAGTCTCCACCAATGATGAATCTATTTCCGATATTTTTAAATACTTCCATGTATTGCTTCTTCTTGATTGCATGTTTTGGCGGACTATACACACTTGCTATTGTTATAGTACATTTTTTTGTTTTAATGTTAACCGCCATTACCTGAATTTCTTCTGTTTCGATTTTTGATTCTTCATTATGGTAGATGTTTTCTTTAATTATAATTCCACTTCCACCCTTAGCTGAATTATCAGGATGTAGGGCATGATAGAATTTATAGTTTCTTAGTTTTATGTATGTTTGTTTAGTGAAGTGCGTTTCTGATATAAGGCACACATCAATTTTATTTATGTCTAGGAATGCTTGTAGTTCATGTTGATGTTTTAATAGTCCGTTTGCATTCCATGATAGTATTCTTAGGGAGTTAGCCATTTTTCTTTGATTTAGGGATTGCTCCCTTAGTGCACTTTTCTAGTATTTTTAAACGCTCATTATATTCACTGAATTGGGTTTGTTGTTTATCTAATTTTTGTAGGATGATCTTAAGAGTATCATTGATATTATCATCATCATCCTTAACAATCTGGGAGTAGGTTTTTCGCGTATTTTTTGGTTGTGGTTGAAATGTTTGTTTTCTGGAATTTTTATCTTTATTTGGTATTATTTTATAATTTATTTTTTCTGATGATTTTTGAGTATTAATGCTTTTAGTATTTTTATTTTTAAGTCTTTGCATCTCCTTTGCTACCATGCATCCTCTATAGTTGGCTGGATGATTTTCTCCACAATGAACACATTTTGGTAACTCATTATCTTTTTTCTTACATTCTTTAAAATAATGTTTTCCAGCACATTTAACGCATCTTGGTTCTCTGTTGCAATATTGTTGGGTATGTCCGTACGCTTGACACTTTTTGCATTGCGGTATCAATTTATTTGTTTTAAGTGGTTGAATTTCCACTTTACAATTCATAATATTGCTGATTTGGAAGATTTTGTTAATATCTTCTTCTGTGTCGAAGGATAACACAAACATATCTAATGGTTCTTTCCTTTTCCAGCTTTGTTTGTTAACTACATTTTGAACTTTAAACCCTTGTCTTGTCAAGTCCGCTATTATGTTTTCTTCCTTGCTAGAATGATGTAGATTTTTAGCCATAACACGTATGGGTCTTATCTGTTTATTTTCATACGAGTGAAAGCTGAGGTTATTAGTTTTTAGAATATTAACTAATTGTCGGTAGGCATCACTATTTTTTGCATTAATTTTAATATTATTTTTATTCATAACTTTTACTTGGAAGTCATTTTCTGCTATGTCTTTCTTAATAATATTATAAAATTCATCATAGTTTTGAATATCATCCATCATAATTGGTGGTGGTAATGATGTCTTTTTTATT